CCGTACCAATCGTCAGCGTCACCCTCGAGGTCGTCGGCGCCAGCTCGAGAAGCCAAGACGACTTGCGCCGCATGTGGCCAAGTCGGCCATTGGCGTGGGGATCCTCAGTGCCGGGCTAAGTCGGCCAACGAGGCCTTGAGTTCGTCCAACGACATCCCACGGGCCTTTCCGGACCCCTTCTTGCCCTTGGACTTGCCCTTGCCCTTAGAGGCGCCCTTGACCCTTTGGATTTGCCCTTCGAAGAGCCGCCAACGTAGAACCCACGAGCCTGAACCGCCTTCGCCAGCCGCTGTCTATTCTCCCGGTGGGTCTGGAAGCACGTGTGGAGCTCCCTCGCGACGTCCTCCGGCAGGTCGCTCGCCAGGTCACACTCGGCCAGGTTCTCCACGGGGTCGTAGTCGTAGAGGAAGTTGTTGAGCTGGTCCTCGGTGGCGTTCCAATCCGGAGTCCTTACCCAAAGGTCCCACTCTTCACGATGAGTCTCGTGTGTACCCCTGGGTCGCCCACGGTGGCCCGGATCGTTGCGGCCAGGAGCTCCGCTTTTCACCACCACGTTCTGGCACAAGAGCTCCACCGCCTGCTTCATCTTCTTCCAATCGTACTCGCCAGATGTCCGGAGGAGGAGGTTCGCTTGCCGCTCCGTCGACAGCTGCGCGTGCTCGAAGAAGAAATAGATCATGATCTCGTCCGGAATCACCAAGTTCGCCTCTCGGCAGCACCTTGCTGCCCGGTCCATGGCATCGGCCGTCTCCAGCATAGTGTACTGACGGTCGCTCAGGTTCAACTTGAAGAACCCAGTCATCGCGGATCCCACCTTGTGCATCCGCTTCTCGTCGTACTTGTCTTGCAGCAACTTAAGAAGTACTTGCCAACCGGAAGCCACGCCGAAGGTGCGAGCCGGAATGTCCTCAAGGTAGTCCGCCGCCTCGCCATCCAGAGCCGCGTGCAACCTTAGTCCAATCTCGGAGTCATCGATGATGTTCTTCGCAATCTCGACGTAGCTGTCCACTTTCGCCGCATACTTCCTGAAGCACTTCGCGTCCTTCCTCCGGTCACCGTCGAAAGTCGGAGCAGGGGGAAGGTTGCCGCGTGGCCTGCGTTGGGCTTTGGCCTTGCCGTCGTCCTCCTTCGAAGACTCTTTCGCCCCAAGGCCACCCGTCGCTGCTTGCCGCTTGGTTGCCGACGCCGCTCCATCAGACGACCCTGCTTGGGAGCCCGTCCGAACGCCTTGCCGGCCTCTGCTCGAAGATCCACCCCGGTGCGGCTCCGGGAGCAGTTCCTCGTCGGGATCCTCCAGGAGATCCGGATGATCTGCTGCTGCTTCTTCGCCTTCAGGATCTTCGGAATCGCCGTCACCTAGAAGGTCTTCGGGCTGCCCATCTAAGAAGTCGTCTATGGTGCCACCGCGAGGGGGATACGACATCGAGAGATCTAGGGCACGCTACCAATGCAATCAGGAGGGTTCACACTCCGGTTTCCTAAAGCCACGGAGCCTGGTTCAGCTCCACAGAGGGATGCACACCTCTCTTTTCGCCTACGCTCAAGGGCCCTGATGCCGACGGTAAGTCAGGTGCTGGCAGGCATGAAACTGCATACAATTGCAATACAGAGAGAAAGAAGGAGCGACAGATCAGAAAGAACGAATGCTAGACACACACACACACAAATAAAATGCATATAAAGAGAACGACATAGCGAAATAATGAAAGAAAGTCACAACTAAATAAATAAGCAACCACGGCAACAAAGAACGAGCCACACAAAGAAGAAACAACAAGAAAGAAGAAGATACAGCAAAACCGAACGAAAGACGTAAACCAATCCACACATGAAGAAAGGTGGGGCTGTCAAGGCTCAGAGTTGCTGCAGAGTTTCAAAGCTGGCTTGGTGCAGGATCAGGGGGTCCTTACATTGGGAATCCGGGAAGCCCTTTCCCTGCCGACTCTTGGAACCAGATGTTCTTTGGCATAAAAATCCATGCATGTCACTGCGTGCTTTCAACGCTTCGCATGCGCTCATGTGCTTGTGAGGTGTGTTGCCATCAGAGCTAGCCTGAACCAGGGCCCCAGCTGTGCACGAAACGCGCATTTCGTGCGACCTCGGCAAAAACACTGGAGTGTGGCCAAGCGTGCAGGGCCAACAGGATTGGGAGAAGATCGCTTGTGGCCGAAACGCCGCCCGAAGCAGACATTGGGCGTTGATCGATATTGTTGTTCCGATGAGTGAGTGACCGTTTAATGCCCCTTGCGCTCGCCCTTGCGCACTCTGGCGTGTTTCTTGCGCACACACATACGTGCATGTTGCGCGCTCTTGCGCTCGCTGGGGCACATGTTCGACCAAGCCACCAGGTTTCCCAAGAGGACCTGCCACATCCCTTCTGAACCTTTCGAGCAAGAGACTTCGAGCAGGTTTCTTCTTGATAAGACATGCTTGACATGATACTGAATGTGAGTGTTTGCCAACACGCATCTCGAAGCATACGGATCAATCAGGATTGGGATGAATTAGCGTATGTCCGCAAAGCCCGGAGCTCACATGTCACTTGCGGCCGAAACGCTGCCAAGGAGGGGGGCAGAAATTCGCCTGCCGACTGAGGCCGAAACGATGCCTGAAGGCGTCAAACAGGATTGGGGGTAAATTCTTTTTGGTTGCCAAAGCACTTCCCGAAGCTTGCATGTCAGACAGAATTGGGTAAAGCCGAGGCTTTGGGATGTAACTAGGATTTGGGCCGATTTTGGGCATTCTGCCGCTTGGGGGAAGTCCTGCCTTGGTGATCTCTCCGAGTTGCTGGGGAGGGGGGGTCTCGTGGTCTCCGACGCGTGGTCTCCTGTTCGTGATCGTCCTGGTGGTAGTCATGGTCCTAGTGGTGCTCTTCCGCGCGTAGGATGCCATGTTTGTTGACCACAATCCTTTTTTTTGTCAGGATTTTGTGGACAAATCGGGGTGGGTGAGTAGAGTCGAGGAATCTAGACAGCCGCTTTTTGAGGCAGACTCGGAGCGGGAACTATCTTTGGGGGGGCAGGGACTATCACGCACGAAACCGATGCAATGCCCCGTTGATTACACTCGCAAACGCGGCCTTGTCGCTTCCCTTTTCTGTGACCTGCAGAAAAACCAGTAGCTGCAGCTGCATGCAGCTTGTGTTTCCATGAAACCGGCCTGCGTGTTGCTCTTCAACACCAGGGCATTTGCAGGCTTTAGGCGCGCCCTATCAGAGTCATCTAGTGGAGCGGGGCGGCGTGATAGCTCAATGTTGATGTTCACACTGTCTCTTGCAATAGTGTAGTGACCAGTGGCAGCCTGTGGCTCTATGGCTCCGTAGCATGACTTACGTGATCGGGTAATGAGGGCGCGAAGGTCGCCTGTCTTCTCTTTGTGGTCGGAGAACTGCCCGGGGTGGGTCTTGGCGAGCTACCAAGACCCGCCTCAACCACTTGAAGAGCATCTTCTCACAAGCCTCCCTTCAAAAAGCCAACAAAGCAGCAAGGAGAAGCCTGGGCTTGGAGTCGACCTGCCCTGCAAGGAGGCGATTGTGCGAATTCGCGGCCCTTTGCTCGTCAAGTTGGCCGGGGCCTGTCCGCTTCCTTGCAGACTGACGGCCTTCCGCAAGTTCTAGCCGCAAAGCACACCCTATCGCGCAGAGTCGACACACTGAAGCAAAATGCCTGGCAATACCTCCCACCCCAAATGACAGTTAAAGAAACATACGCATGGCCTTGAGAATGAGAAGATGCTGATGGAAGCGACTGCTCATCCCTGACTGGACCACGAGAAACAACGTCCAAAAACTGCTCGCATGGCCAGCCCAACTTACTGCAGAGAGCTATGCTCATTGCCGACACATCGCACTCAGGGCACCGCGATGAGGCCCTGCCCACGAATCGATCAGGCGACTTGGCCTGCGTTTGAATCAAAGGTCCAAGTTGGTCGATCGGCAAGAGACGCTCCACGACCAATTGTGTCTGCAGTTCGGTCGCCTGTCTTTGCCGCGGATCCTGAGTGCAGCAGCAAAGCTACAAGCGCTTTCGGACCTGCATGGTCCATGCCTGCGGGCCATCATCTGTGCGTGACCTCAAAACACACGTAGGACTTGGAAAACAACTGCATCCTGCAATGCTGAGCCTTACCGACGTCACTCTTAGTCACTCGCTTTCTTCGCGTTGCTTTGGAACCTTGCTGCACCCGCACAGCTCCACACTTTTATACAGTTACTAGCTAGCCCTCCTGTCGTCTAGCGCATCCCGCGTCTCTTCCCCCCCCCCCCACCCTCGTCCGTGAATGTGAGCCTACACGCCTTGTCCCAAGAATAAGATCCCATTCGGATGGTTTGCGACCACTCGAGAAGCCTGATTATAAGCCATGCCAAGCGCGCCTCGATCTGCTCCACTTGCGATGTAAGGGACGTCCTGCAACTTGAAAGGTCAGGTCTGCTGCAGTGCATGGAACGGACGATGGCTGCACCTGCGCATCAGCCTTGGAACGGCGCCCGCGCATCCGGCTGGGCAACACAACACCCTATTTTGCTTGCTATGCCACCCTGCCAGGGCATAAAAACCCGGCATGTGCCCTGCATGTGCCTGATGAAACAAGTAAAAACTTAACAGGTTCGAGAAAAAGTTGTGGATACAAGACATGACTCACGTGCAGATAAGATTCAAGCCGCTACAGTCCCGCTAGAGTCGCTAGAGGCTAGAGCTTGGTCTTAGTCCGGTCACGAGCTCTTCCGCTGACCATGGCCGAATTGCACCCAGCAAGAAAGGTATGCTGCCTCGCCACTACAGTACGAATTTTGTGTCAAAGCTCCTGGTCTTGCTACTGCTATGTACTTCCCTTGACGATGCATCAGCAGCAGCAGTTCGATTGGTTCAGTCGACCTGAAAACTCTCTATCGCTGCTCTCTCGCGGCTTGCCCAGCATGCGACCCAAGGCGGCAGCTACCTGTCGAATCGGATCTCCTGTCACATCTGAAGCGGTGGGGCCGGACCACCCGTCAGCCATGCCTGCACGTCCTTGTGGTTATATCCTGCAGCTTCCAAGTAGGCGAAGGCCTGCTGGACCCGTGGCTGGCCACCTGATCTGAATTCGGAGGAAAGCAGCCGAAGGACCTCCGCCTTGTGTGCCCTCTGCACCTGCCCAAGCAGCTCGTAGAAGCCTTTTGCTGCAGCGTCAACTGGGGAATGTGCAGAATGCGAGGATTTCAAGGGCACTTCCACGGTCCCGGCCCTCTCCGCCGTCTCCGCCGTCGCGACTTCGACCGCTCCTTCGGCCGCCCTTTTCGCCTTCGAGGCCTTCTCTTGCCGCTTCGCCGAGCCCAAGGAATGCAGGTGCTGCAGGGTCTCGTGGAAGAGCCCCTTGGGCGCTTTCAGCATCGGCGTCAGGGAGTCGTTCCTGAAGACTTCGCCGAGTTTGCCAGGTCTGGAATCTCTCTCATGAACAGGCTGCGGAGGGGCTTTAAGGCGAGACTGATACCAGCGCTTTAGAGCATCGAGGTCGTAGCCCATGGATTGCAGCCTGGCAAAGGAAGATGAAAGGTTGCCTGTTTTGAGCATCCGTGCGAAGACTTCCTTGACTTCGGCCCGGGTCTCGGCCTCTTTCTCGAGGTCTTTCAAGAGAAGAGCAAAATCCGAGTTGCTGGGAATTTCCACCTCCTCCTCCTCCGACTCCGACTGCAACCACTTCAGAAGCATGTTGTAGTCGTAGCCTAATGCAGCGAACATCCCGAGCACGTGTACCATCTCTTCTGCGCCGATGTGGGCAAGGACTTTCTTCACCTCTGCTCTGCTCGAATGCTTCAAGCCATCGATGAGCAAGTAAACGTTCCAAGAGTTCTCGATAGCACGGGCTGGTCCCTTTGCTACCAGAGCCTGGCCATGTGTTCTTCGCTCGATCCAGCTCTGCAGCTCCTGGGGGCTGTAGCCCAAGGCCTGCAAGGCCTGCAAGGCCTTCGACACGCGACCCGCTCCGCCCAAAGTGGCCACCTTCCGGATCAGCGCCTTCACGGCCTCGGGGCCGTCGGGCCGGTTGGCGCGGAGCGTTTCCAGCAAGTTCCTGACGTCCTCGCCCAGACTCCGATCATAGCCTTCAACGGAGAGGTTGGAGAAGTGACTTGGAGGGAGGGGCGAAGCCGTCGACAACCACTTCTGGAGATCCTCAGGATCGTAGTCCAGGGCCAGGAGTGCCCAGACCATCTCCAAGTGACGTTTCCCTCCCTCTGCAGCAGCAAGCAGGGCGGTGTTGGCGCCGCGTTGGTCTCCTTCCACAATTTCCCGCTCCACTGCTGTGTGGTCTGGAAGTTCCAGGGTGTTCTTCGGAAGTTTCAGGGCAAACGCCTCATGGAAGAGCTGCCCGAAGATGCACATGAGATACACCGACGCTGGACCTAAGCACGTGGAGTCCGGCCGTCCCCGTGACACTCTAAGCAAAGCATTTCACCGCAATAACCGAGATGCGGACAGCCCGGCATCGCAACCACGGGAGCCCACACTATTCTCTGATGAGATCTTCATTGAGCCGTTGCTGCGAGATGCTCACTTGTTGTGATTAACTTGAGGCCATGGCTTGCAAGCCTCACTCTCTTTCTCTGCCACTGTTGTTCAAACAACTTCGTGCTGATCCATAGGTTGCTTCTCATGACAATGATTTTACTAAGTTTTACTAAGTCACATGGAAAGGGCGCAAGGCCGAAAGTCCGCACAACTGCATGTTTTTTCCTGCCAGTTTCGAGCTCAACCGACGTTACCACGCAACGATGCTTGGAACTGCCTTGCCTGATGTTCGTCCATCAAGTTGGGTGCGGAAGGCCCAGCAGGCCCTTCTGGGACCATGCCATGGACAGCACCAGCCCGAAGCAGAAGCGCATCTTCTCGCTTCATCACATTCCTAGCTTGGGGTTCGCCTTTGTTGTTCAACGAGATGGTGAAGCTTACTTCATCGCCAATCTGCAGCCCGATCATCTGATTCCGGTGTATGTAAATGTCTCTGGTGAAGCGCAGCTTGGTTTCGTCGCAATCAATGAAGCCATAGCCGCCTGCCGGGCCATCCTGGAATCTTTTCACCCTCCCAATAAATCGCTCCTCGTTCGAGCGATCGGCCGGGGGCGCCCAGGACTGGACATTTTGTGGCACTTGGTGAATCTGGGGGAAGACTTGGGCAGGGCCGGCAGGGCCGGCAGGGTATTGGGGGCAACCTTGGGCTTCACCTTGTTGCGGCCATCCTCCTTGAAGAGAATCCTGCCACATCGGCGCGGCCGCGGCCTGGCTTGGCCACGAACCGGTCTGGTTTTGGCAGAACGGAGGCATCGGGGGTTGCCATTGCATGTTTGGGTGCCACTGCTGGGGCGCCAGAACGGCTGCACCTGGAAATGGCATGACCGAATGCGCCATGTGCCCAGGACCTTGCTGACTGACTGGCAACTTCTCCCACATCTGGCCATGCAGAGGCGCATTCAGCACAGCTCCGTTTACATGCACGGGTGCTGGAGGGGGCGGTGGAGCTGGCGGGGCTGGCGGGGCTGGTGGGTGTGAAAATTGGGGCAGCGGTGTCGGAGAGCCTTGCGCTGACAGAGCCAATGGACTGGCATCGCCGGCCGGTCGTGCAACAGGTGGTGGGGGAGGAGGTACAATGAGTGGCTTGTTCTCCGCTTGGGTCTGCATGGTCTCTGAAGTCGGGACCCCCATTGCTGTTGCAATAAGGCTGGTATCAGCGACATCCCAGCCACTCTTTCTCCGAGTCTTAGAACTCGACCTCGATGACGAAGACGAGGATCTCCGGCGTCGGCGCGATCTGGATCGATGTGAACGAGAACTTGAAGATCTGGAAGACTTTGACTTGCTTCTGGCATTCTTCTTTCGCTCCTCCTCTGCAGCAGCCGCTGCACGTTCGGCCTCACGCCTTTTTCTCGCTTCTTCTGCTTCCCTAGCCTCTCTGGCTTTCCGTTCCTTTTCCTCTCGTTCGCGCCACTCCTCCATGTCCTCGGCGGTTACCTCCTCGCCACTTTCTTCATCTTCCGCAAGCTCCTCCTTCCACTTTGGTTTGCCGCTGTCCTTCTGCGCATTGGCCTCGAGGTAACGGGAACACTGCTCAGTTCGCATTACAACCCTACTCACACGATAGCGGCGAAACAAGGAGAGCCTGAGCCTCCCTTCTGCGCTTGCCAAGCATTCGGATAATCAGAGGCGCTGTTGCCCCAATGCCATTGGCACCAACGGCCAAGAATGGGCAAACAAACCTTCTCAGCTTAACCGAAGGACTGCAACCAGTATTCCGTGTATCGTCATGAATCCCTGCTGGAAGGGGTTGTTGGGATGCCATGCCGCAGTTGCCTGCTGCATGCATTGTGTGACATATGTGTCTGTCTGTGTGCGTGTGTGTGTGTGTGTGTGTATTTGTCTTGTACCTTTTGCTGTTTTGTCCGATGTCTTGAATATGTCTTGCTACACTGATGTAGGCACATCTTCCCGGGAAAGACATGACAAGCACGGTTTGCAGGGCAACCATGAACTGCCGACACTGCATGGCTTGAACCTTCCACTCGTCCCTTCGCACCATCGCTCTCAGAGTCCGTGCCTAAACGGAGAATTTGGGTGGACAACCCTAACCCGACAAAACAATGATGTCGGGTTCAAACTAAGGCATGGTGACAAGACCGGTGTAGCCTAAACCCTGAAAAGAACTAGTGACTGGCACATCCCAAACCCCAGAACTGTGAACACTGCTGCGGAGGCGGCTGACCACAGAAGAGGTGGTCAGCTGCTACGGGGGCACGGGCATGAATGCTGGGTGTGGCAAAGAATGAACAGGGGTGGCTCAGAACGAGTCGGCGAGGACATGGCTGATGGAAGACGATTCTCTATCAACGTTGGCAAGGGCCAAAAAAGCAAAATAGCGGAAACGCAAGTACTGCAGACCGCTGCGTCGGAAATGCGGAACTTGCGACGTTTGCGGAGCAGTAGAGCGGCCCGAACCTGGCAACGGGCGGGGCATCACAAATTTCGTGGGGGTCGAGGATCGACGGTTGTTTCCCCCACCAGAACACCTTGGGCTTTTCTGCTGGGCTGATGATGGCCTCTGTGCCAACACGAATGTTCGGCAGGTCCGCTCCATAATCCGAGGATGGAAATTAGAAAGGGGACTACATTTAAAGAAAATTATTTCGGCCCGGATCGGGTGTATTTTGTCTCGCGGAAAAGGTACTACGTTCGAAAAAATATTTCGGTGGTTACAAAAAAAAGGAGCTGCAGCTTCTCTCCACTCAGGAGCTTCTCGCCATGGCACTGCACTTCTGTGAAACGAATCCGCATCTGTCGCTGCACTCTTTGCTTTTTGCTTGCTTGCTAGAGGCTGCCTTCCGGAGCCCACAATCTAGCTCTCCAAACAGCTGGGCGTTCTTACTAACGGCTTTGTACGTAAAAGGAAGGTTCTTTTCCATTCCTAAGCCATCCCTTACGGGGCCTGCCGGGCAGCAGCCCGAAGCACATTTCAAAGAAGGGACCACATTTATGGCAAGAATCCGGGCCGGGCCCGGCTGGAGATTCAATGCATTGTTACTAATTTCAATAGAGCCAAAGTAGCCCGAATGCCATACATCAACCATTTCCATTATTGTGGTTCCCGCCAGTACAGTAGGATTGGATTGGTATTCGTAGCGTTGTACGCGATTCCTTAATGATAGTGTAAGCCCGTTGCTTCGCAACACCGGTTGTTTCGAAACATCGGGGGTTTGCTATGGGGTTGTGTTTGCGATCTTATGTATATTGTATTGTATTGCGTTGTATGTTGTATTGGGCCAACAGTCTACAACAGTCTACAACACTCGCGCTCCGGGAAGGAGGGGAACGACGGGGGGAAGGACTCTCCATCAACATAAATGCAACATGCCGTTTTGGTTTCTAGATTTGCTTTCGGCGTAGCTGCTAGCTAGTCCTGTCGTCATGTCGAAGAAAATCGCTATGGAGGGCACCGTTATCTTCCAGAATGGTCGAGCCGACTTCAGTCTCACTCCATCAATATGCTA